TCCCGTTCCTTCCACCCCACATCCTGCTGCTTATGCTCGGTATCGTCCTCCTCCTTCATCATCAGTTTTCTCCTGCGCATTCCGCCGCCCATCCGCCACCTCCTGAAAATATGACAGGCACCGTCTTCCCTGGAGAAGAACACTACCTGATCCATGTACAAGTACTACCGACCAAACATGCAAACCGTCCGAAGCGCATCGGACAAACGAACACCCTCACCCACTCGCACGGCTATGTTCACCCCCTTTTTCCGCCAATGCTGGTCGAGTGGGGCGGCGGGTGAAGAGATCATATAGAACGACCTGGGGCAGTGAAGCTGTAAGACGCACTGCGGCAAATCTAGGTATGCAAACTGAAAGTGCACACGTGGCGCAAGCGAAAGGCGACTATGGCTTGGGCGCTAACGTGCAAGGGCCTCCTAACACGCGGAAAACTATTTGACGTGTCGCAACCCACCCGGTTTTACAAAGTGATCACATTTCCTGTGGTGGGGGTTGACGAGCACGTGAATCCCAACTATCATCAGCTCAAGCCTACCGGGCAAAGCACAAGCAACGGTAACTCGAACACTGGTTAGGCTAACACTACGTAGTAGGTGCCAGCTCGTGTCTTCCACGAACGATCTGCCGATGGGAACCTCGCACGCGCACTGCCATGCCATCCCTGTTCACAGATTTGGCCAGAGTGTCTGCAAGGTTCTCATGTGTTCCTACTTTGGCCATTTTGACCTCCCCTCGTTTCACGTTCTCTTGCAGCCAAAGCTGGCAGACCTCGATGAGCCCGACTAGTCCTAGTCCCCGCCAGCTCGCGATGGCAATTGCCGCACTGGCACCGCCCTTGAGCACGACGCCACAATCAACGTTGAAATAGTTTGAAAACTGCTGGTAGTCCTGACGCTACTGATCTACCTCTCGCCAGTCCAGAATGATCCGCGTCTCCAGAATATAGCGCCACTCTGCTCTGAGTCGAATTCCACGACTGCATCACATGCGACCCCCGATTAACTACCCCACCACTCGTTGATTCACGCGTCCTCTTACATCCGGCGCAATCAGCGTCGGTCAACACCGTTCTCCTGACGGCGCCCCTGGTACAAGCACTGATATCCACACCTGTCGCGATTATTGAGGCACTCGCCGAGCTTCACGAGGCACCCCTAAGCCCTCGGGCCCGCGCTGTCATGGAGCGCGCAAGCTCCTTAACTGAAGACCGCATCTCTCGGCGGCATTGTGCCAAATAGTTGGTTCGAGTCACGAATAATGGGCTCGGCGTGTCTGAACTTCGCGTTTTGGCGGGGGGGCCTAATCCTCTCTTGCGGAAAAAAGCTACTTCCCACCTGGTACGTCACAGATCACATCGAAGAGGCTCATCCCCTAATTCTCTGACAAATACCTCGGCGTGCCTTTGATCCGCCGAATGCACTAATCAGTCCCTGTTCCAATCACAATTCGGCTGAAAAACGCGATTGACATCAAAGATGTTGGCCCTGGCCCGAGTCTGCCCCGAATTTCAACTTTCAAATTATTATCTCTGCTCCGTCGAAACAATCAAGACCCATGTCGTTAACCAACGAAGTAAACTGTCTCTAAGAAGTGTTAATCAGATTCGCCGTGGCATTCGTTTCAAACACATGGCGATGCGTTCCCGTCGCCAAAGCCAATGCCAAGTCAGAATCAATCGTCTCCCACGCGCGCCCAGTGCGCAATCTTCTTCGGGCATCCTGATGAAGACGTTCATATCGGCCTCGGCATGGAAGCATGCCCGCTCGCCATCTATAGACCCCAGCTCGAGCCCCCCCCCGCGCCCCCCTCGGCCACGCCCACTTCCCCTGGCAACTGCCGTCGAGGAAACAGTTTCTGAGCCCCCAATGGAGGGCTGGTTTCGAGTTTGTTATTTTCTTTGGAATTGTACGCGACTCGGCCGCGAGCGCGGATCTGCGCGCAAGATTGACCTCGTCGCCCTTGTCGGTATCAACCCACCTCGCATCCACGGGGACTTTGCCGGCTACTGCCCGACATTCTTCCGACCTCACGCTACCCAAATCGCCCCATCTCCTCCCCCGAGCTCCTCGCGCAAGTTCCGGGTCGAGCCCGCCCCCCGACGCGTCGCCCGAAGCGCGCGCTCGGCCATCTTCGCGACGAACAACGCATGCGCGACCTCTGGCAACGGGCCGCGCCTCACCAATTTCCCCCGCATGCCTCGCACACCCCTGGAGTTTTCAGACGCCCCCGGCGTCGGCAAACTCCGGATCCATTGGTGAGGTTGGGTGTCTCGGGCGACGCGGCAGGTGCAGCCAGTGGCTGGGTTGCGTTCTCCTCCTCTAAGTTCTCTCCTGCGCGCTGCCCCACCAACCCCCCTATCCTCGAGTACCTGGCGGGCGCCCAAGTCTCATGTAGCCCCGCGCAAGCGCGCGCTCCATTTTGGCCCTGGACCCCTGATAGCACGAGACGCGACGCGCCATCATGCTTTCTGCACACGGGCACATTTCCACACTGATTCGGCCCGCGCCCGATTTCATCTATTTCCATGACACCGCATGATTACATCCTGATGATCCCGCAATCACAGGACTTGAATGGGCGCCCTGATCCGTCATCCGCCGTCATCTGCCCAACTAGGCCATTAAGTGTAGCCCGGCAGCATCGGCGCAGACACATCTCTGATCTCCCCCTTCTCCCTGAGATAGCTCGATACGCCGGCACTGGCATTGAAATTTCGCGCCGGGGGCTCTCCCGACGCAATGGCCGTTGATCATGAACCGCGTGAGTTCCGCCATGGACCACCTCTTCCCCTGCAAACACCTGCTTCACGTCATCACGGCAGCGGCCGTCATCGCACGCCTGCATTCCATCGCGCGTTAAAAGTTGCTGCAGTGGCGACGCTGTCCAATTCGGGGCCCCCAAAGGGTGTTCGAAACAGAAACACTGCAATTTCGCTGACCCCCTTAAAGTCCCAGTGCAAGCACGAAGCGTTCAACCCCAGGATTCAGCCACGTCTCTCATTTGTTCCAGCCCAAGCCTTTTCGAACTGATGGCCTGCAGTCTGCTGAGGGCCGCACACATTGAACTCACAATTAACAGATAGGCTGCTTTACTCTTGCTTATCATCTTTGCTGTTAGACGCATCGCCCCGCATTTTAAATCCCATGTGTTTCCGCACTCATCACAAGTAATAAGATCCATGGATCACCCCAATTCGAATTCCATTGTTCCACCACGCCAGTAACTCGGAATGGCGAGTATGCCTCAATCACGCGAGCCTGCGCGACATGCTGATCCTTGCTGCATCGCCTCGCTGCCCCCGTGAGTTCATCCACCTGTTGAGCGGCGCCCAAGTCGGCACCGGGCAACCACTCCACCGCGGACCACATGCGCACCACAGCCCATGATGCTAACCATTTGCGTACCTGGCCAGTGTTCACGTTGCCCCTCTCTTCACTCTCACCCTCGGGTCTAGTCCCGTCCACGTTCTGGTCGCAGGCCCCCTCGCTTCTTCCGACTTCTGGGCGCCCTCGCTGCATCTAGTCGCCCTCATCATTTTCCCGTCAGACTTCTCCGGCCCTCTCCTCGCCTCGAAACTCCGCGGCCGTCTGCATTTGTCTCGCAGACGCCGACCTCGGTTAAACAATGCGGCTGGGCACTCATCACCACCCCTGCCGCAGACAGCCTGGAACTCAGCCCATCCCGTCCAAGGGCCGCGGGATTCCTTGTCACCGTGATCCATCCACTTGCCAGTCACGCCCTCATGTCGCCCGTTCATTGACGAATTACATGCGCTCGCATCGCATTACTCTGACTCCTAGGAATGTGCCCCCTATGTGTTTTGGCGCCACATCTTCGCGCCGGTTTTACGGCGTCGCCCGATTGCCGACCCGTTGTCGAATGCCCAGTTGCCCCAGGTTCCTCTACTTTGGCATATTGGCCAGCGCTATCAGGTTCCACCCATACTTGAGCCGACGCAAACTTCTCGCGGACGTTCGGATCGCCTTGTCTTCTCAGTCGCTCGATAACTCATCCGCGGCAATCATGGTTGCGCGGTTCACGCGCGGCGCACCCCCGGCGATAGCATTCCAGCCGTAACACCCCGGCGCACGTCTCATAACCGCGCACTCCGATTTCCCCACTGCGACCCCTCGCGCCACTAACGGCCTCTCGTCAACAGCCCGACCGCTACTGGGCGCCGCCATCAGCGAGTCACCTATGGCTCCAACATCGACCCCTAACGCGCTGGGATCCGGTTGCCAGGGTGACCCTCTCACGTTAGGACCCCCCCCGGCCCCATCTTTCCCCCCCGCGACCTCTGCGCGGGGATTTGACGACGCCGCCCCCGGCGCCGATGATAAACCCCCGGCTGGCCCCACGCCCCCCCCCGAAATATCCCCCCCCATCTGGCCCCCAGGCGGCCGCCGCCCTTCCTAGGGGAGTCTCCAAGCGCATTCTCCACATCCGGGTAAAACTTTGCTGATTTTGCGTCATTGGAACTGATTCGCGGGCCGCCTGCCCGTCGGCGCCCATCGGGCGCTCGTCGACGAGAGAAGATGCGCAAGCGACCGAACAAAGATATGAACGGGATGCTCTTCTCCGAATTCCACCTTGCACCTGTTGTCAACAGCGCTCATTTGCGTTTGATCATGACCCCTTACTGTTCTCATGGCCCGCTCTCCCGTACCTGCTTAACCGTTCGCAGGGGGTCACCGACCGGGTTAACCTCCACTCCAAAAACTAAACCGCGCAATGCCAAACCGGCCTCCTCGAGCGCCGCACTGGGCGACCCGCTGTCGCTTTTACAAATGTCTCTCTCGTCACCAGGGGCCACAATCATAGCGCGGACTACCCTGATTGAGCGGGAGAGCCACTCCCTCGAATAAAACGCGGCCCCAAATTGACGCGGCATCCCGGCATCGCACGACCACAAACGATGCCCTTGCCCCCCCCTCTTTCCCATCTCCGCCCCTGCCGCTTAATCACGCGCAATCCAGCGAGGTCGCTGCGACGCGATGACTGCGCGGTTCCAGCCTCCGCCCGCGCGCTCTTCTCTCGCCTTCTCTCTAACGCGGCGAGGGCGCCAGCTTCGGCATGGCGGGCGAGTTTCGTCGCGCGCGCGATCCCAGGGTATATCGGCTTCGATCCCCATAGACAAATCCTCGACATCACTTAAGCCGCTACCCCGATCCCCATCTTCTTCATCGCCCTCTGAACTGCTCAGCTGGACTCAACTGAGCAGGTCCGCCATGTCAGTTCCTCTGCCATCGCCACTGTCCCCCACCTACCTGGCCCTCTCTCGATTCACAACTCCTTCCGGGATTTGGGCGGTGAACTGGATGCCCCCGCTCTTCTCGCGGATCATCGCCCAACGCCACGTTGCGCCGCGCCGGATGTAACTGCGGGGTCGCCCATCCCCGGCTCGATCCAAAATTAACGAGCAGGCCCCGCGCACGGGGGCCAAACCACGCCTTCGGCCCCTGAGCCCACGGCAAGAACAATCTCCCCCACACCATTTTCCCGGCCCCATCAATCACTTGCACTTCGTTTACTTTTTTGTCGGGGTTCTCCATCTCCAACAACAGTTGCTCGGCGCATGTGCGCGCCCAGCTTTTCTCGCGCTCGACACCCCAAAATGACGTCGTCTCGTTCGGGGCCAAGATCGTAAGTAACGCCGCACTCGCGGAGTGCAAACTTCCTGATATCCCTCACCTGGCCTCCCAATTTCTCCTCTTCGCCACCTGGCACTGCATCCCCAACTCCTGGATCTCTCCAACCGGTACTTCTGCGCGCCGTTGCCAGCAAGTCCGCCGACGCCGGTGGCATCGCCCATTTCGACGCTGTAGCACCCTGTTCCAGGTAGGGCTGTCCTGACATCCGCGCGGGCTCCCCCACTCATGCTCTCTCTGTTTCAAGTACACAGGTTTCCATTTTCGCAATTGTAACCGAAGACGTTCGCGCTCGTGCCCAACTCCACAACATCTTCATCATTAATTTGGCCAATATCCATGGAGTCGTTCTTCTTCGCGTCGGCGTCTAATCTTGTCTTCCTGGTCCAACCCTCGCACTCGATGGAGAGTTTCTGGTAGGTCTCCGTATTCAACATTCAACAGTTCTGACATCTTGAAGCAATCCTGCTGCCAGTCGTCAAACCAATCACCTCCGCGGGTCATGGTGACCCTCAGGGCAGCGACCCTGCACGGCACAGGCAACGAACATGCACGCCCGTACTTTTCAAAGGACTCTACCAGCGCACTCCACTGTTCCAGCTGTGTCGCCTCGTCGATAACATTATATTGCGCCGCTGGGCTCATGGTCAGATTCATCCTGCGCGACAGTGTGACTCCGGTAACGGCCGAGTACTAGTCATAGACCTTCTGGTACGCCGCTCAGCCCTCTCACTCCTGCAAGCCCTTGAGCTTTCCCCGTGGATCCGTCCTTTCCACTTGTAATTCAAGGAATTATCAAGGCCCTTGTCTAATTTAGCGCAGCCGTCATCGTCGAACTCGCAATTCCGTTTAGCGTCGTTTTCTTCTCCCTTAATGGTTGACGTTTGGGTGTGTTCGTTCAGGGTCAACCTCCCGCTCATATTTTTACCGACCCGTCCTCTTCGTCATCCGGTAGCGTCCCATCCACGGTTTCGAAATTGTTGTTAACATGTTTCAGGGCTTTCCGTCAACCAGACTTCACCTTGGCGAGCGCGTTCGAAAACTTTTCGCTCTACTCCCTGAACCGTTGGACGGCCTTGTACTCGCTGACGGGTTTGTCTCCACCTCCTCCGGCCCTCGTGTTTCCAGCGGACTGTATGGCCTCGGCAATGTTGATAACATGTGCCAAAGCGTGCGCTTGACATTGGAATTCTGTCCGAACGTACTGTTTAGGCTGTTGAACTGTTTTGCAGTACATGTTGCGACTGACGATTGATATCAGAAAGCTGACATCTTGCAACTCATATGTAGCATCGTGAACGCCTCATCCTGGTCAACTGTCCTGGTACCTTGTATGGCGCTGCGCTCGAAGAGCAGCCTCATGCCCTCGTGGTTGGAATGAAAGGCGGTGGTAACGCACCTGGAATCACTACTCTTGCAACTGGTGTTGCACAGTTCCGCGAATCGGCTCGTGCTCAAGTTGTACAGGCTCTCTCGGACCTCGGGCAGCGTCACATCAGAACCCGGGTCAAATGTACCCGGACTCAGCGGGGCTGTTGCGGCCGACGCCGCAGCAGTCGCAGGGAGGCAACTGCTCTTTGCAGCCTCCACAGCGCGCAGTGGAACACGCGGGGCGAACCACGTGCTCCTTCGCCATGAAAATACGGCAGGAGTTCTTTTCTGGAAGGAACAATCCTTGAGCCAAAGACCGGTGGTATCGGACGAGCATGCAAAACGGTCTGAAACGCATCGGACAAACTAACATCCTCACCCAGTGGTACGGCTATGTTCAAACACTTGTTGCTCCTCCTCCTCATCATCATCATCCTAATCATGATCCTCGTCCTCCTCCTCATCATCATCAGCATCATCATCAGCATAATCAGCATCATCACCACCACCATCATCAGCATCACCACCATCATCATCATCAGCAGCAGCATCATCTGCATCATCATCACCACCACCATCATTTCATCAGCATTATCATCGTCATCATCATCGTCATCACCATCAGCATCATCAGAAGCATCATCATCATCGTCAGCATCACCATCATCAGCAGCGGCATCGTCATCATCGTCAGCAGCAGCATCAGCATCTCTATCAGCATCAGCATAGCATCATCAGCATCATCAGCATCATCAGCATCATCATCAAAATCTTCCTCCAATGTACGCAGCTCCCCTCTCTGATTGCGCCTAACACGTTGCGGTCTCCTTTGGAGTGTCAGGTCCGCTATGACACGCGTCGGCGAATAGACGAGAAACAGCGCTATGAGAAAATGCGTGAGAGGGGGAGAATGTCAGATACGGCGCGAGCGCACCGAGTTTGCCCCCCCATTCCCCTCTCCCTCCTCTCATCCCCCTCTCTGGCTCCTCAGTTTCTGCCTGGGCCCCACCTCGGGGCGGCCGACCTCTTGGCGGGATACGAGTTCGACGTTTCTCCTTCGGCGACGTTGGAAGGAATTTAGGGAAGCTGTTGGTCGTCCCTATGGCACACAATTGCGCGCCAAATCGCGCTCAAACTGGATATGATGTCTCTCCCTCACGCGGCGCCAGTCGGCGCTACTGAGCGCTACTGGGCGCTAGTCGGCGCCACTTGGCGCCATGTGGCGCCAGTCGCCGACATACGATCCATCCAAGATGAGCGGGAACTTCCCTGAAGTACTGTCTGAGCTCGAGGGGGGGCAGTGAGAAAGGGCGGGCCTCCTCAGAAGGTTCGGAAGTCTCCCGGCCTGCCAAGAAATTTTCTTCGCCATCCCGGAGGACACGACGAAGCTCGCAGAACACGCGAGGCGAGGGTTTCCGAGAGGCCCCGCCGCTCTCTGAGAAGGCCTTATTCCCTACCTAGGCTCTGCCTAGAAAGGTTCTTACTCTGTTTGCTTAAAGGGCCGGGCAGTGGGGCACGCCCCGGGCGGTTCCCCCGGCATCCGCCCCGCGGTTCCCCCAGAGACGTTCCCTTAGCTTCGCGTTGCTTATCTCATCTTAGCTTAGCTTAGTTCATCTTACCTTAGCTTAGCTTCATCTTACCTCAATTTTATATTAGCTTAGCTGACCGTCATCTTAGCTTCGCTGAGCTTTAGCATAGCCGAGCACAGCATAGCATAGCATAGCGTAGCATAGCATAGCGCAGCATCGCATGTCATAGCACGGGTGAAATTCCCTACCTAGGCTCTTCTTAGAGGGTTAGCTTAGCTTAGTTTGCCTTAGCATAGCGCAGCGCTGCATTAGCATAACATAGCATAGCATAATATTAGATTAGCGTACCTTCATCTTAGCTTCGCCGAGCTGCAGCATTGCAGAGCACAGCATAGCATAGCAGAGCGTAGCACAGCACAGCGCAGCACAGCACATCATAGCAAAGCCCAGCATAGCACAGCATAGCGCAGCATAGCATAGTACAGCATAGCATAGCGCAGCACAGCACAGCTCAGCATAGCACCGCGCAGCATAGCATAGCATAGCATAGCAGAGCAGAGCATAGCACAGCAGCAAAGCAAAGGCAAAGCAACAGCAGCGACAGCAAAGCAAAGCACAAGCAACGCAAAGCAAAGAAAGCAAAAGCATTAGCATGGGTGTAATTCCCAACCTAGGCTCTGCCTAGGAGGGTTAGCTTAGCTTAGCTGAGCATAGCGCAGCGCAGCATTAGCATAGCATAGCATAGCATAACATAGCCAAGCATAGCATAGCATAGCATAGCATAGCATAGCATACCATAGCATATAATAGTATAGCGCAGCATAGCATAGCATAGCACAGCATAGCATAGCGCGGCTTAGCATTGCATAGCATAGCTTAGCATAGCACAGCGCAGCATGACATAGCATAGCTTAGCATAGCATAGCATAGCATAGCCTAGCATAGCGCAGCATAGCATAGCATAGCATTGCATAGCATAGCGCAGCATAGCATTGCATAGCATAGCATAGCATAGCATAGCATAGCAACTAGTGCTGCTTTCCTAAGGGCTCCAACTTCTAGGTAGGGTCGCACTGGGGTAATCAGTCTCATTTCCCCCCCCCTCGCTCGCCGGCGACAAGCGAAAGGGATGCCAGGGGACGAGCAGCCCGGGGCGTGGGCCGAGGGCCTCGCGGTGCGACCAGCCGTAGCGCTCGCCCAAGTAGACGGCACCGCCGTCGTCGTGCGAGTCGAGGACCCGCAGCAGCCTCGGCACGTTCAGCAGCGTGTCGTCGTCGGTAACCACGTACCTGAGGGGCAACGCTTCGAGCAAGGGATCGACCGCCGAATTGACTCACCCCGGCACTCCTTCACCGCCGAGCGAACGGAGCATGCGCCGACTGCTCCACGGATCTGCCGGGCATCTCGTGCATTGCCCGTAAACTCGACGGGAAAATCGAGCACGGGGCA